CTGTCCAAGATTATCGGCATGGGTGATGTTTGCTTGGAAACAAATTTGGGCTGCAAGTTATTGCTTAAAGATGTGAGGCATGTTCATAATATTCGCCTCAATTTGATCTCTACTGGGAAGCTAGATGATGAAGGCTTCAATAACAAATTTGGTGATGGAATATGGAAGCTCACAAAGGGTTCTTTGGTGATGGCTAAGTGCAAAAAGACTCATACACTTTATTCGATGCATGAAAAAATTTGTAAAGGTGTTGTCAATACACTTCAAGATGATACTTCTACCGAATTGTGGCACAAGCGGCTGGGCCATATGAGTGAAAAGGGGCTACAAGTTTTGTTCAAGAAATAGTTTCTACCCGGTCTGAAAGGTACACATCTTAAAACTTATATTCATTGTTTGGCGGGTAAACAACATAGAGTTTCTTTTTAGAAAAATGGCTTCTAAAAAAGAAAATGTTTTGGAGTTGATTCATTCGGATGTTTGTGGTCCTTTAAAAGTTAGAACACATAGTGGTGCACTTTATTTCTTACTTTCATTGATATTCAAGGGAAATTTGGGCTTTTTTACTAAAAACTAAAGGTCAAGTTCTAGAAGTATTTAAGCATTTTCAGGTCATGGTTGAAAGAGAAACAGGGCAGAAATTGAAGTACATCCGATCAGACAATGGTGGTGAATACATTGGGCCATTTGATGAGTATTGTCGCAGCCAAGGTATTCGGCACCAAAGACAGTTAAGAAGACTTCTCAACAAAATGGCGTTATCGAGAGGATGAACAGCACCATTGTGGAAAGAACAAGGTATTTGCTAGAACAAGCTAAATTGCCAAGATCCTTTTGGGGTGAGGCAATGAAAACAGCGGTTGACGTGATCAACTTGCCTCCTTCCTATCCTTTGAATGGTGATGTTCCAGAAAGAGTTTGGACCGGTAAAGATGTATCTTATGAGCACTTGAGAGAGTTTGGTTGCCGAGCTTTTGTTCACATTCCAAAGGATGAGAGGTCCAAGCTTGATAGTAAATCAAGACAATGTATTTTTCTTGGCTATGGGCGTGATGAATTCGGGTATAGATTGTAAGATCCGGTCGACAAGAAAGTCATTCGAAGCCGTGATGTTGTGTTTCTTGAAGACCAAACAATTGAAAACTTTGGCAAAGGTGATCAACCGGAGCCAAAAACTAGTGATCTCATTGACATGGATCCATCTCCTTCATCTTCAGTTGATGATGAAAATGGGAGAGATATGCAGGCACCTATTGAAGATGTGAAGGATGATGCTAATCCTAATGAAGTTGAGCCAGAAATTGAGGAAGAGCATCCAACTCAAGAACTGCCACCACAACTTGAGTTTAGAAAATCTACAAGGGACCAACAACCTTCAAGAAAGTATCCTCCCAATGAATTTGTATTGATATCTAATCAAGGGGAGCCTGAGAGCTACCAAGAAGCAATTGAGCATGCAAAGAAAGGTGATTGGAAAAAGGCCATGGAAGAGGAGATGAATTCCTCACTTGAAAATCACACCTATGATTTGGTGAAGTTGCCTAAGGGGAGGAAAATTTTAAAAAATAAGTGGGTCTTTAAATTGAAAAATGATGGCAAGAATCTGAGGTACAAAGCACGTCTTGTTGTGAAAGGCTTTGGGCAAAAGAAAGGTATTGATTTTGATGAAATTTTCTCGCCAGTTATGAAGATGTCTTCTATTCGGGTTGTACTTGGCATGGATGCAAGTATGAACCTTGAAGTTGAGCAACTTGATATAAAGACCGCATTTCTTCACGGTGATCTTAAAGAAGAAATTTACATAGAGCAACCGAAAGGTTTTGTAAAGAAAGGGAAAGAAAAATTTATTTGCTTGCAAATTGAAGAAAAGTTTGTATGGCCTCAAACAAGCCCCGCGGTAATGGTATAAAAAATTTGACTCTTTCATGTTAAATAATGATTTTTCTAAAATCACTTCGGACCATTGTGTGTTTGTGAAAAATTTCCTGGATGGTAAATTTATTATTCTTTTGCTTTATGTTGATGACATGTTAATTGTAGGTCAAGACTCTACCATGATAAACAGGTTGAAATTGGAGTTGAGGAAGTCTTTTGCTATGAAAGATTTGGGACCGACAAAGCAAATACTTGGTATGAAAATTGTTCGTGATCGCAAAGAGGGGCTGATTTGGTTTTCTAAAGAAAGCTACATTGAGAAAGTTCTTGAGAGGTTCAATATGGATAAAGCAAAGCCGATTGGTTATCCACCTGCGGGTCACTTCAAACTTAGTTCGAATCAATGTCCTAGAAGTGAGAAAGACAAGGAACAGATGTTGAAAGTTCATTATGCTTCAGCAGTTGGTTCTTTGATGTACGTCATGGTTTATACAAGGCCGGATATTACTTACGTCGTTGGTGTGGTAAGTCATTTTCTTTCTAATCCGAGTAAGAACATTGGGCAGCGGTAAAATGGATTCTAAGGTATCTTCGAGAGACTTCGAAGGTATGTTTGTGTTTTGGGGATGGTAAGCCGATGCTTTATGGGTTCACAGATTCTGACATGGCCGGTGATGTTGATTCTAGAAAATCTACTTCGGGGTATTTGATGACTTTTGCAGGGGGAGCTGTGGCATGGCAAACTAAATTACAAAAATGTGTTACTCTCTCAACTACCGAAGCTGAATTTATTGCCATTACGGAAGCTGGCAAAGAAGAGTTATGATTGAAGAAATTTTTGCAAAAGTTGGGTTTGAAGCAAGAAAAGTATGTACTTTATTGGATAGTCAAAGTGCTACTCATTTGAGTAAAAATTCTACTTTTCATTCGAGATCGAAATACATTGATCTGAGATACCATTGGATTCGTGATGTGTTAGACTCGAAATTGTTGCAACTCGAAAAAGTTCACGCAGATGATAATATTTCAGATATGTTGACAAAGACTTTGTCGAGGGACAAACATTTAAAGTGTCGAACTTTGGCGGGTATGGTTGATGTCTCCACCTAAGTCGATAGGGGGAGAATATTTTAATGTATGATTATATATATAGAATAATACTATTATATTACTTGTTACGCTTTTTAAATTAAAATTGATTAAATTTAATCTTTATTCAATTATGTCAAATGAAAGATTAAATGAATTAACAATTTTATCCATGTAAAATGATTTAGCTTATAAGTTGTATTATGTGAATTAGATTAGTAATTTTATAATTAAAAATACTACAAGAACAATATTTAAGTGATTTTTGTTACAATTTATTTAATTTTTGTTTGATACTTTAATTTAGATTATTTTGGTTATTTTCTTTAAATTAAACTTTAATGTATATTTATATAAATTTTAATATATATATTTATTAAAAATAATTTTTTTTACAAATACTTTCAAATATATATAAGAAATAAAAAATTAGGCACATAATAATTTTTTTTACAAATACTTTCAAATATATATAAAAATAAAAAATTAGGCACATAATTTATTTTTTTTTAATATGTACAAAAATCCTGAGTTGAAAGTTTGTTTTTAGATCTTGAAAGGATTGAAGAAAAAAGTTAGAAGGTCTAGATAAAAAGTTCTAGAGAATTCTAATAGTATGTAAGTCCCACAATATAATTTAATGTTAGTATTTTTTTTCATTATCAAGTTATTAATAAAAAACATATATATACATATAAAATTAAATAAAAAATATTTTACTTAACTTTTTTTATTTTCTTTTCTAAAATCATCCTCAAATCATTATTAGATTTCGGGGATATCATTTCGGAAAATGGGAACCGAACCTGACAACAACTGCAGTCTTGGCCCTGTCTAAAGAAAAATGCTTGGAGCACTAATTAGTGCTCCCACTAATTAGGTGGCAGTGGGTCTCACTATTAATGATGTGATGTTTTAATTTTGAAATTGTATTTTTTTTTTTTTTACTTTTTTAATACATTAGTGCTATTAGTGATGATGTTTTTAATGGGATGAACAATTATTACTATCTAAAAGAAAACACCACGTCTAAAAGCAACTGAGCTGCAGTGGAAAAAAAAGAAAAAAGAAAGAAGACAAAACATAATAAGAAAAAAAGACAAATTAAAGCTGTGAGCTCTTCCATTAGAGCTCTAAAACATTTTTTAGAGTCTTGGCATTACAGAGAAGAAGAGATGGAGAAGATAGAGCATAAGAGCGTAAGCGTGAATGGCATAAACATGCACGTAGCAGAGACAGGTGAAGGACCAGCTGTCCTCTTTCTTCACGGCTTCCCTGAGCTATGGTACTCATGGCGCCACCAGATGCTCTCTCTCTCCTCTTCCGGCTACAGAGCAATCGCCCCCGATCTCCGCGGCTACGGAGACACCGATGCTCCTCCTTCCGCCACCAGCTACACCGTCCTCCACATCATCGGCGATCTCGTCTCCCTCCTCGACTCCTTGGATCTCCACCAGATCTTCCTCGTCGGTCACGATTGGGGCGCCATTATCGCCTGGGCCTTCTGCTTGCTCCGCCCTGACCGAATCAAAGCTCTCGTCAACATGAGCGTTCCTTTTCAACCCAGGCATCCTTCCTTTAAACCTCTCCAATCTCTCCGTGTTAAAATATATCATCACCTACCACCCACCTCCACTCAACTCACCTACCACACACCCTCACCTACTCCCAAAACTTCTCCTATATAATACATCCTTGTAATATACAAAATGTACAACAATCTTGTAATCAAAGAATCAATCAATAATACATGATTTTTAACATGGTATCAGAGCAAGGTTAACAACCTAGTTATTCTGCTTCACTGGCGGGCGGCAGTCTCGCCTTGGCCGCCCGCCGGACCTCTACACAAATTCCATCCGCTGCCACAAATTCCATAACTGAACTCTTGTCTCTCTTCTTCCTTTTCAACAACAACTTCATCTTTAGGAGCTTCAATCACCGGCTCGGGTGCCTTGACAGACTCTGTAGTTTCTTTAACTCTGCCACCACCTCAGCTACTTCTTCCACAACTTTCTCCTCCTTGGCCTCAACTTCAGCGGCCAGGGCTTCGGGTTCTGGAGCAGCTATGAATACAGAGACGAACTCGATTCTTCACTACTCCTGACATCGAAATTCTCCACCGCTGTTACGGCGGCGAATGTTCTTCTGGATGCCGATCCGGTTTCGATGGAGCTCTCATGGCCGCCAGAAGACCCTCTCGGAGAGTAAAACTCTTCATCTTCAGAACCCACATCTGCATTTTCATAATTCCGCCGGAAACTCTGCTGTCCAAGCGGCGGCAATGGGTGGAGCTCCGGCGAATCCAATTTCCTCAAACTTATGTCTAAGAAAGCCCATATCGCCGGAATTAATGGCGGTTCCGGCTGCACCGTCACCGTCACCGTCTTCTTCGTCTTCGCCGGAAAGAGTTTCGAAGAAAAGCATAGATTCATTCCCGAGAATATCAAATGTTGAGTCTCCGGCGAGAATTACCTACTTTGTTTCGTACAAATTGGCTGATGAGATTGGTTCTCCACACACGCAGCACACCACAGCCGTTAACTCTCACAGGGCTTTTGGTGTCTTTTTTTAGTCTTTTTTAACAAGCATAATCATCAAACCCCATCTTTCTTTTTGTTTTTTTAATCAACCGCCCCAACCTTCTTTCTCTTTTATCTATATATATATATAATTCATTTTAAAGTTGCAGCAAAGCATTTAGTATCTCCAGGCCGGAAAAGAAAAGGCATAATTCACTAACTCCAACTTGCACTCTCCAACCTTTATTTTCATTATTATAAAGCTTAGTTGGTCTACTTTTTAAATTTTTTTTTTTATTTATTTATTTATTTAATCACACCCATCCACTCCAACTTGCACTCTCGATTCACCCTGTTCCCCATTCCCTCCTTTATTATTTTTTTATTCATCATTATATATTCCTCATCACCATACATATCATTTCATCACCATCACCATATTTTTCTTTATTTATTTATTTATTTTTATTCGATTCCCTTACTTTCAAAAAAAAAAAAAAAAAAAAAAAAAAAAAACCATTATTTATTTATTTATTTAATCACACCCATCCACTCCAACTTGCACTCTCGATTCACCCTGTTCCCCATTCCCTCCTTTATTATTTTTTTTATTCATCATTATATATTCCTCATCACCATACATATCATTTCATCACCATCACCATATTTTTCTTTCTTTATTTATTTATTTTTATTCGATTCCCTTACTTTCAAAAAAAAAAAAAAAAAAAAAAAAAAAAAAAAAAAAAAATCACACCGATGTTTTTCATATGTCCATCCCCCAATATTTTTCTCTATTTTCTTTATCCATTATTTTCTTTTATTTTATTTTTATTCTTAAACAAAACAACCCCACAAAATAACACCACCAACATTCCACACACTTGTCATTTCTTCATGCCGGGGATCAACCCCGATCACACTTTTACATCAAAAAAAAAAAAAAAAAAAAAAAAAAAAAAAAAAAACAACCAAACCAAAACAAAACACCCACACCCACCGTGGGATTTTTCTTCTCTACTCTGCTGCAGGTCTCTTTTCTTGCCTCCGTCTTGGACGGCCCTTGACGGTGTTGCCTCCGTGTTTCCCACTCCACTGGGCACGATCACTACCCCCTGCTCCTCCACTGCAGTATACGGCGGACCTCCAAATCGGAACATCACAGTGGCCTTCCGCTTAAGCTCCTTATTTTCTGCCTTCAGCACACTTATCTCTGCTCGCGCATCCTTATACATGCGTTGGAGCAGAGCCAGTTGGGCGTTTAAATGCTGCACTTCATTTGCCTACTCTGCAGCCGGTTCGACAAATTTGTGACCGCCGTCATGCTTTCCACACATGCCTTCAAAGTATACTATTGGCTTCCACATCTGACTGCCTGCCATTCTTTGCTCCACAGCCCGCATCGGAAAGTTCAACGGAGCAAACTCCGGCGCTTGGTTGAGTTTCCAGTGCCACCGCACCAGTTCTCTCTCTCGTTGACTCGTTGAGTCGGGAAAAGAGGTGAGCAGCCCGCGGGAAGACGATGAAGCCATTTTCTAGGCACCTGAGTGTTACACAGTATCTCTCTCAGAAACTCTCTCTCAGAAAAACAGAGTGTTACAGAATCTCTCTCCAAAATCTCTCTCAGAATTTCTCTCGCAGGTTTTTGCCTCAGCCTACCTCTGTCTTATAGCAGAGGCAGCCACGCGCATCGCGCGCCTCTTTCCACCAGCCGACAACACGGGCGCGCAAACCAAGGCGCCCACGTGCCTCGCCATCATGTCCGGCACGTCTTTTGATGAATTGGGCACGCCTTTTGATGGCACGCCTTTTGACAAAATTAGGCACACCTTTTGAGGTGCAACTTTTCAACGGTCAGCTTCTACAACGGTTGCTTCTACAACGGTCCGACATGACCCTATAAACTGTCCCGACATTTGATTCCGGTTAGCATTCCAACGGTCCGACATGACCCTATAAAACTGTCCCGACATTTGATTCCGGTTAGCTTTTTCAACGGTCCGACATGACCCTTTAACCTGTCCCGACATTTGATTCCGGTTAGCATCACCAACGGTCCGACATGACCCTATAAACTGTCCCGACTTTGATTCCGGTTAGCCTACAGTGTCCTCTACAACGTTATGACACACCCCTACAGTGTCCTCTACACCGTTATGACACCACCCTACGGTGTCCTCTACCCCGTTATGACACCACCATCCAGTGTCCTCTACACCGTTTATGGCACACCCATCCAGTGTCCTCTACCCGTTATGGCACCACCTTTCAGAGTCTTCACCAACGGTCTGACACGACCATACAGTGTCTCCTATCTTTTTTATCTTTTTTATTTTTATGTATTTTCTTGTTTGCTCCTCTCTCCAAACTCAAGTTGGTTAGTTTCTATCCTCCTTGAGTTTGCGGAGGGCTGTTAAAATATATCATCACTACCACCCACCTCCACTCAACTCACCTACCACACACCCTCACCTACTCCCAAAACTTCTCCTATATAATATCATCCTTGTAATATACAAAATGTACAACAATCTTGTAATCAAAGAATCAATCAATAATACATGATTTTTAACAGGTGCCATAACGTGGTAGAGACACTGGATGGTGTGACGGGGCTTATCGGTGTTAAGAGGGACACTGTATG